TCTGGGGGCCTCTGGATGTCTGGAGTTTTGATCTCCTCCATACCTGCTTCATGCCCTGGAGGACGGGGCTGTGGCCCCCCCCACACCCTCTAGCAGATCATTACATGAAGGAACCTTTTAAAAAAAACAAGCGCGTCCATGCTTTTTTTGTGTTTTTCCACCCTTTTCATACTGCGCCCCCCCCACAATGGGGCGGGCCCCACACTTTGGAAAGGTCTGCTCTAGAGTATCATGATTTACAGCAAGTATTTAATAAAGATAAGGCTCGCTCACCGACCATACGATTGCGCCATTGACTTACTTCCGGGAGCCCCACTGCCCTCTAGTAGACTGTATAACCTGTCCCATCCCGAGAGAATCCATGGAGAACTACATCCAGGAATGGCTGGCAGCAGGAATAGTCAGACCGTCTTCCTCCCCCATTGCTGCGGGCTTCTTCTGTGTGGGGGAAAAAAGGACGGGTCGCTGTGGCCGTGTATCGATTATCGATATTTTATTTTAGTGTATTTGATTGTTTCTATTGTTCTTTAACATTGCTTTATTGCTGGCCGAATGTGTAAAGCGCTTTGGTCAACAATATTTATTTTAAATATACAATATACATCAAGTTGAAGAAGAAGAAGTTGGAGGGCAAAACAGTACAGGGTCCCTCTGCCCTCCGGCCATCCTTTGAATTTTAGTTTAGTTTAGTTTAGCCAAATTGCCAGACAATTCCTGTGCTTTCAGACGCACTAACTGTTGTTTAATTCGGTGTGAAATTCTATAGGATTTCATCAGAAAAAGAAAATCCAGAGAGCAGGAGATTGTTATGTTTGTGCCAATTGCCCTCCGCAGGTAGGTCCAATCACAGTAGGTCAACCTGCTCCGCGAAAGAGCTGTGTAGCTATGTTTAACTGACCCAGTGTAATGATTGATGTATATGTAGCCACCACCACAAATCAGAGTCAAGTAAATGCCTCAGTCATTAATAGTCAAATTCAGCAATAGTCAAATCAGATATGAAGGCTTTTTATTTACCATCTGGTAAGGGAGATTAAAATATTGTAATTCTGTTCTTTCTGATTTAACCTTTTCTCTCGTTACATTTCTGTCATTTAACATTTAAAGAACCATTTTATCCTTGTGCCTTACCTCTCCCTTCATAAAGTCCTCTCCGACTTCCTGACACCCATACCCACACATGTACAGTCATCATCATTTATATCCACATACTATTGCTTACCCAAACGTGTCAAATATATATGACCTTTAACTGCCTTATTTAAATGATCTAGTCACCTTGATTATCACCTTTCACCTGTCTGATCATAATTAGTTATGATCACTTAAAGTTTTGCTGTAGCAGAGAAGCACCTAAAAACATACAACAATTCTAGGGACAGTGATGTTGTTCCCTGTCTGAGGGCAACACCCTGCAATAGATGATTAAGCTGCCATGAACCTGAAGGTTTATTCAAACTGCATTTTTATTTTAAAATGATCATTGTCATCATACTCAAATATTTAATATTTTTTTCCCGAGCTATTACCATTAACCTTTCACTTAGAGCTCAGGAGACAAAAGAAAATATGAGGTTCCAGAGTAGCTTTTGCAAAACAAATTAAAATAAATACATTTTAAAAACATGGATTAATGGGCATTTTATAAACATAAATAAATGACATGACATTTTCTTTATGTCTACAAAACAGAAGAAGATTGCTAACTTTTATTCTGCAACAGAGCACAGATGCTCTAAAGCACTCTCTTGCTGAACAAAGATATTGATTTTCTCTTAAACAGAAGCATTGTACGTGATTGCCTTATCTTTGGCAAATTAAATCCATACATAAATGGGGTGAGCATTGGCTGGCAAATGAGGAGATATATAGATAAAATGATATTGACTTCACCTGGCACATGAGCAGCTAAAAGGCTGAAATCAGTAGAGTGAAAAATACACCCGACAAACAGGTTTGACACAGAGATGATCTGAGGGGTGCAAGTAGTCACGGCTTTCTGCTTGTTTTCTGTGGATGTTTTTCGACAAACTGCTAAAATCTTCATGTAAGAAACTGAAATGAGACTGAATGGTATGAAAATACTCAGTAACAGAAAGAATATGTCAGATATAAAGCTGTGGACTAAAACTGAACATGAAAGTCGAATTATTAATTTGTGATCACAATACACATTGTTTACAATATTTCCACAAAACATCAACCTGAAGATGAATGAAAATGAGAATATAAAACTAAGAAATGAATACATCCACACAACCAGAATTAACATAAACACTCTCTCTGTGTTCATAATGACATTATAGCGTAATGGATGACAGATTGAGATATATCTGTCATAGGCCATGGCTGCTAAACTGCAAAACTCAGCAGAAGCACTTGTGTACATACAACACATCTGGAGAAAACACCACGGCAGAGTCACTTCATGACTGTCTGAGAACATCTGTGAGAGCAAAAGAGGATACAGTGATGTGCTGGCGTTTATTTCATTCACACATAAGTTGCTGAGCAGAATATACATTGGCTCATGCAGTCTTCTGTCCACATGTATAACCACAATAAGGACTGTGTTGGCCACACATATAGAGACATACCAGAACAATATTATAATAAAATATGGGTATTTAAAAGCTCCAACATTTCCATAAGCAGCCAGAACAAATGATACACTTTCACTTGAGTTTCCTATTTTCTGCATAATGTCACACAATGAACAAGACAAACTAATAATAATCAAACATCAGGAAACACAAAACAAAAAGCAAATAGCTTTATACTTTTACAAGATTCAATTCCAGAGATTCTTCACATGCTAAGAATACATAACAATAAGTTCAGCTTCTTCTCCCAACTAAACAAGACAAACTCTTTTGCTAGTATTTATGGCTGCAGCACCGAGGAGGAGAATGAGGTGGGCGTGGCTAAACTTGAGGTCCAGAGTTAGAGACAATGGCATTCTTCCTCTTTGGAGGTTTTTGTTTGTTTTAACTACAATAAGTTCCACAGGTTTTCAGAATTGTGGAGGATAATAACCTTTTTATTCTTCTCAAGGGAAATTCAAATGTTTCTTAAGTGGGCCAAAATTGGATTTGAATTTCCACATTCTCAACTTTTCATATAAAAAAAATCAACTACACTTTCCAAGTCGAAACAACATTCTGATATCGTCCATGTTGATCCTAGTGGTATAGATAATTCCTGCCATACAGCTTGATGTCATCCCATACAGCTTGATGTCATCCATGTAGAGGAGGTGGTTGACACTTGCTCCATTCCGTCGTCGGTCTTGTTAATTATCTTGTATCATGTTGTTCTCCTGAGTGTAGAACATCCAGCTGCAAATTTGGTGAAACTATTACAAAATCGATCATCAACCTATGGCCTAATGTGTCCTGGTGCCATGCTCATCTATGAATATCCTTATATTTAAGCATTATGTTTGTTATAGACAAGCTGTAGTTTGCAAAGGAGTCCAAGAACAGAATACCCCTCGGGTTCAGATCAGCCAGACTTTTCTTCATAATCGTACCCCAAGAAGCTGTCACTGATTGTGCCCATTTCAGCAATGAACTCTCCCAGTAGGACAATTCATAGTTTCCATATGACACCAGAGCTTCAGAGAAACATTCACCAAGTGGCCAAAACAGTTCCTCTCTGCCCTCCGGTCATCCTTTGAACACCTTTGAGTTTAGTTTAGCCAAAATGCTGGACAATTCATGTCCTTCAGAGACACTAATTGATTGGATTGGATTGGACTAATTGGTATTTGTAAATGACCATTGCAGACCTGATTACATTTTTCTGCTTTTCAGCATCTTTTATTTATACTCAGGGTTGCTGTTCATCCACACACAGCAGCAGCTTTCCCGCTTTCATTTCATTTTTACTCGTTTCATTATAAAAAGAATTTCCAGAGAGAAAGAGACTATGGATTTGTGCCAATTGCTCTCCCCAGGTGGAGCCATTCTTTGCCTTAGTTAGGGAGGGCAAGGAAGCACAGACATGGAAGTACACTTATGTTTACACTGAACATTTCAGAACAATTCTCTAGGCTGTTGCATGATGGGGCAGAAGGTTGAGGGTTGCAGATATAACAGACTCAATAAACTGATCTGCAACATACTACACACTACGATAGTCGCACACCCTTAATATCACATCGTTTACAGAGAAAATTGCAAAGTCAATATAGTAAGAGGGGCAACTCAGTGTCCGCCACATATATGTAATTTTGTCTACTATACCAGGATATTTATAATTAGAGCTATTTGTATTTATTGAGCTATTTTGTGACTTTGTTATTTTGTAACTTGTATTATATCGTATCATTTCATTTAGTTTAGTTAGTTACTGTTCGTATTGTTTTGGAGCAACTGTGACCGCATAAATTCTACTGGGATTAAGAAAGTGTTCTGATTCTGATTAACTGAACCAGTGTAATGATTTCTGTATACAGACCCCATCAGCAATCAGATACAAATGAATCCACTAAATGTCTCTCTCATTAATACTCAGATTCAACAATACTCAGATTAACACTTCTTAATTCCTATCTGATGAGTGAGTTTAAAATGATGTAGTTATCTTCTTCCTGATTTGATCTTCTTCTCTCTGGTTACATTTCTGAGGGGATGACCCAAACAGTACAATCACATTCTTTCCTCCAGTAAGAAATTCTTGTACTCATTTCCTGTAAGTTGGTATAATTTTATGGTAGCGCATGGGGTCAACACAGATTCACTGATTCAAATGAGCAACTCAGCATTTACTGCTGAAACTTCCTGATAACTATATGATTGGTTGAATAATTTTTGTTGTAGCAGAGAAGCACCTAAAACTATTCTAAGGACAATGTAATAAACAAAATTTTGGTTTCCTCTCTGAGGGTAACATCAAGCATTGCAGATTATGTCAGGAATTCAGTGGAAATTAGAGGTTGCACAGTAGCTTTTACAAAACAATTAAAACAAAATGAACTGAATTAATGAAATGGGCCTTTTATAAAGGTAAATACATGACATAATCAGATTTTATTTTCTTCATGTGTACAAACCATAATATGTTTGATGAATGCTATTCCACCACAGATGCTCTAAAACAGTCTCTTGCCAAACAAAGATATTGATTTTCTCTTAAACACAAGCATTGTACATGATTGCCTTATCTTTGGCAAATTAAATCCATACATAAATGGGGTGAGCATTGGTTGACAAATAAGGAGATATATAGATAAAATTATACGGACTTCACCTGGCACCTGAGCAACTAAAACACTGGAATCGATAGCATGAAAAATACACCCGACAAACAGGTTTGACACAGAGACGATCTGAGGGGTGCAAGTAGTCACGGCTTTCTGCTTGTTTTCTGTGGATGTTTTTCGACAAACTGCTAAAATCTTCATGTAAGAGACTGAAATGAGACTGAATGGTATGAAAATACTCAGTAACAGAAAGAATATGTCAGATATAAAGCTGTGGATTGAAACTGAACATGAAAGTCGAATTATTAATTTGTGGTCACAATACACATTATTAACAACATTTCCACAGAACTTCAAACTGAAGATGAATGAAAATGAGAATATAAAAATAAGAAATGAATAAACCCATACAAGTAGAATTAACATAAACACTCTCTCTGTGTTCATAGTGATATTATAGCGTAATGGATGACAGATTGAGATATATCTGTCATAGGCCATGGCTGCTAAACTGCAAAACTCAGCAGAAGCAGTTGTGTACATACAACACATCTGGAGAAAACACCACGGCAGAGTCACTTCATGGCTGTCTGAAAACATCTGTGAGAGCAAAAGAGGATACATCGATGTGCTGCCATTTATTTCGTTCACACATAAATTGCTAAGCAGTATATACATTGGCTCATGCAGTCTTCTGTCCACATGTATGACCACAATAAGGACTGTGTTGGCCACACATATAGAAACATACCAGAACAATATTATACTAAAATACATGTATTTTAAAGCTCCAACATTTCCATAAGCAGCCAGCACAAATGATACAGTCTCACTTGAGTTTCCCATTTTCTGCATAATTTGCACAGTGAACAAGTTTGATCAGTAATAATGATATGAATGGTCCAATTTCCTTAGGGATTATGAAAGTATTTTGATTCTGATTCTTTTCGATATGAATAAGAATACCCAATCCCGATGGTTTAGCAAAGTTTCTATTATTCTGTTCAAATCTGTTTTAGACATGCATGCTACCTCATTATGATATGTTCCTTCTCAACAGCTGTTATACCTGTTACACAATGCGCGCATCAGTAAGCAAAGAACAAAGAGTAGTTTTATACTTTACAAGACCAAAGCTCAGAAATTAGCTCCTTTCATCCCAACTGAATGAGACCAAAGAATCTGCTAACATTTATAGCTGCAGCACAGAGGAGGAGCAATAAAGTGGGAGTGTACTTGAGGGCCAATGACAATAATGGCAATAGAAAATGGCATTCTTCTTTAACAGATATATCTGACTTTATTCTTAATCATGCATTCTAAATTCATAAAATCAACACAACACAGTACAGCTTTAACAGGTTAAGCAGCAGAAAATGGATGGATGGATTGGTCGGTTTTCTGCAGAATCTTTTGAATGGTATAATCTATACTGTGTTTAAAAATAAAGTTGGGATCCAGTCCAAATTGTAAATTAAAAAAATGCAATAATATGCAAAATGATTTGGGCCCTTTGTTTAGTGGTTCTGTTGTGTAGAGTTTTCATCAGAAAAGACATCCAGCATAAACATCTGCTAAATCAAATATGTGGACCTACAACTGTGGGCAGGACACCTTTTCTTATCTCCCTTATGAAAAAGGGAGCAGACAAGCTGCTTAATTATGTGTAAAGAGGAAGTCCTAGTGTAGTTTGTGTAAATGTGTAATTTATGTTTTATAGCTTTATAAAAGAGGAACAATTTTGTGGTTTTTATAGGTTATTGAGAAATAAGAACTGATTCTGCTCACTTAAGATGGAATTATGTTGTATGTGGTCAATAATGTAAAATGACTCCTGGTTTAAATAAAAAGCACTGTGGTGCTAGCAAATTTTGTTATCAAAAAGCCTGCACTAAGCTCACCCCAGTTCCACTCCAAACACTTGGATTACTTGGAATAATACTGATCATGAGACTTTATTGCCCAACTTCTCTTTTATAAGCCAGACGTGGTCAAGTTAGCAGCCATACAAAACATCTAAAAAATACTATAAGTATAAAACCACAACAAACAGTTTTAAAAAACAAAACAAAACAAAAAACAATATAAAGCAGCGGTCCTTAACTTTTTTTATTCCCAGCAGACAAGTTTATCCACAACGTTATTTTCACGGACTGGCCTTTAAGGTGTCACGGATAAATACAACAAAATAAAACCAGTACAGGTACCAAAACGAGAAGATTTATTCATAACACATGGGAAAAGACCCAGGGACACCGAGTTAATGATAAAAACGATAGAAAAAATAACACTAAAAACAGATTTAAAAACCCTGAAAACTATGAAATTCACACTGGTGTTTCCTGTGTCATCGGCCTGGAAAGTGGCCGGACAGGACGTGCAGGACCAGACGGCATAGAGACCTCAGGCGCAGACGAAGCTAGACTGAGTGAGGCAGGACCAGGCGACGCCAAAGGCGAAGACACGGAAGCTGGGCCAGGTGACGCCGAAGGCGA